TGTATAAAGTCTATCAGATATCATAATTTATATTTTTTAAAATTACCTCTAAGTGAAACTTTGTGAGTTAAAAGCAATATGCTGTACTGTATATGTACTGTATATAGTTTTCACCAACCAGGAATGAATACTCACAGAGAGGAGAAAGCCTCTTTCAGACTTTATCCTGTTATGTTTTGGTACTAATCTAATGCTTTGTTCAAAGAAAAAAAATTTTAAAGGCACAGAGCCAGGAAGTTATACATGACTGCTAGCTATGAATTCTCCATACCTCTTACACCTACAGAAGTGCCAGAATAGATTCCTCACGGCAGATTTCCCAAAACTTATATAATCTGGCAGAAGAAAAACTGCCATCGTTGCTTTTCAGTCTATCCCCAAATCCAAAATTCCACATCCCACCACCCAAAAGTTTTTCTCCATTATGCAGGAATTAATCAGTTATTACCAGTGACATTCATATTCAGAACAGACAGAAATGTGCACCCAACAATCAAACAGGAACATCTGGCTAAGTTTCCAGAGTCCAACCCCCAAACTGTAACACACTTGGGATGACACCAGTGATTTCAGCACTAGAACAGGATTATATTTTAGTTTATGTCCATTCTAACTAAAACCACACTGGACACATTAAAATTTTTCTGTCCCATTCACTCATTAGTGACACATGTACTATATAAGTACTATATAAGGCCCCATTTCCCTGAACAAGAAGGACTTTTTCCTAAGAGGTTTTGGTTTTATAATCCTAAACTGCTATTCAATAATCATTGAGACATTAAAAATTATGAGTAAAAAGTAAGATTTGTTAGTTGTTCAACTTCACCTATTTTAACTGCATTCTATATCAAAATAGTACACATTTTTATCATATATTTTATTTTTTGAAATAACAAATATACTAATCTTTCTCACACTTTTTTGTTGATATCTTATGATATTAATTGCTTTACATATTTAAATTTAAGTAACCCAGACATACTGTAGTTCTTGGATATCAATTTGTGAAAATTAACTCATTCACAATCAATCTTCATTCTAAGTTATTTAAGTGTTGGTGAATTTTGGTCTAAAGAATTTTCAGTAAAACAATAATATGAGAGCCATCACAAACTCTTCTGAGCTGTTCAGTAAAATAGGAATTTTCCAGATAGTTTAAGATAACTGTGTTTAATTTTAAAAAATTTAAAACTGCTTATTAAATTTTCCCATCTCTTCAAAAGTACACCTTAAAATAAAATAACACAAATTAACATTATCTTGACAATACAATTATTACTATGACCCTCTACTACTACTACACACTAAGTACTCCTGTAGAAAAATACAGTGGCCACATTTCTATTACTGATGAAGGCACCCAAGTGACTTTAGAGCCTTGCACAATTATATCAAAGTTATCACATATGCTTTAAGAAAACAATGCAGATATACAGATGTTAACCAGTCCACAAAACACTAGCATGAAAGAGTTGAACAATTAAACATTAAATATAAATCAAATCTAAAATCTCACTTTGCTCTAAAGTATTAAAGAACTGATATATTCTGACTACAAAAAATAACGGATATAGAATTAGCTTTAAATAATGGCTATAGAATTAGTTTCAGTTAATCTGCAATGTAATCATAAGTGACAGTATTACTTTGTAAAATACAGTATATGAAAAATATAATTTGCCACCATTTAAAATCAAAATATTAAAATCTAAAAACAAAAAGCTGATAAAGTGGGGGGCAAGGGATCTTTTATCCCCTGCAGATGACATATCCTAGACATGTCATAGCTGTTTCTGCTTGAGTTTTGCTGACAATATTTTGAGGCTTAACATATAAGATATTATAGACTAAATTATATGAAAGAGTATGTTCATACATAAGTGACAGACATTAATATTAAAACTATTTCCATACTGAATAAAGAGAAATAACCATACCAAAAAGCTGTAAATCAGGAAAATCACAAAGAACAGATCAAATACATAAAACATACAAAAGCTACTCAATAGGTAGTATCTGTTATTATCACTAGAAAATAGAACTGATAACTAACGAGATAAATGGAGAAGAAGATGGCAACACTACCAGTCATTTGAGGGCCATATCCATAAAAGTACCAGTGACCTTTTAATCCCTCCTCTTTATCATATTCCCAAACAATTACCAAGTTCTCTAAATTCTACATCCTCAAAAGCTCAAAAGCAATCCCATGTTCTCTAGCTTCACTGCCACCCAAAACTCATCATATACATTCTCCTGCACCACTGCCACAGCCTCCTATCAGTTACCCTGACTCAGAAATACTGCCCTATTTCAACCTACTTGGCATGTCTCAAGCAGTTTTTTACAAAGGAAAAGAAAGAAAATAAACTTGAACATGTCACTCCCCTCTTTAACATATGCAATTATCTCTAGAGCCATCAAAATAATTTTCAAATTCCTTATTGTGGATGTAAAGTCTAAGAATCTGGCCCCTGTGTATGTTCTTTTGCCTCATCTTTTCTCACTCACTCACTTTGCAATCTATCCCATGCTCCACAACTCCCATCTAATCTATTTGTGGTTCCCTAAACATGTCATGTCCTGTGCTATCTCTGTGTCTTCTTGTAACCTCAGAACAATAGCTTACCCCTAGAGTTGAACTCTAGACCTAACAACTTCAACTCTGTACTTAAAATAAGTAATTGGCTAGTCCTAAAGTGACAGAAAAATTCATGGCAGAATGTATGAGGAGAAAAAAATACAATAATGATATTTCTAAGAAAAAGTTTTAAATTTAAAAATTAACATTTTATAAACTGAATACAATTTTAAGGCAAGAGACCTGCAAAAATGTGATATATTTCTAAAGTTTTAAATGAATCAGGTTGCTCATTAAATGATCATTAAACATTTAAAAAACAATGTGATAGCATAATTATACTTGGCTCTGACCGGTAATGCTAGAATTGAAAAGGCTCAACTAATTGTGAGAAATGTTTTTAACAGAAAAATAAAAGTTGAGAAGAATTTACATATTAATGATTGACACCTGCTACAATCAATCCTAATCATTAAAATTTGCCTGCAATCAACCAATTAGTTGTACAAAAATATATTCCACTTTGAAAAACATTTCAAACTTTTAAATATTACCATAACATTCTAGCCTAAGACAAGACTTGCAATGAAGGGTACAACTTCAATGTGAGCATAACTTACTTATAACTATTTATTACTTCATTCTTTCCAGATTTCAATAGAAATCACAAATGCAAAAGAACTAATAAAGTAAGTGTTTTTAAAACTCTAAACAAAAATAATGTCATAGTGGGAGGGGATTGCTAGGATACACAAATATAAATATAGCTATATATAACAAACTTGTTAGAGAATCATTCTGCTTTGTCATATTAAATATACCTAAAAGGAGTGACAAATCTACTTATAATATACAGTATTCACACATAAGGATCACGTTTATGGTTTTCTTGAAAAGCAACTGCTTGTTTAACAAAGATTCTATGACTTCATTACTCTTAACTGAGGGTAAGTTCCCTTGAAAAATAAAATAATAAATGTGTATTGCAAGATGAACAGTTTAACGAAGATTTTTAAAAATATTTTACCATCACACTCAAAAAAGATTTAAAAGTTAATTTAAGCATTTTACTATTTTCATCTTCTACAACTTAACATAGTTCATTATATTAAAAATCAAGTTAAGTTCTTCCCCAATGTGATTAATTTTGCCTTCAGTATGAAGAACATGCAACTTAAAATCAGAACACCTGAGCTTTGGCACCATTTTTTTTTTTTTTTTTTTTTGCCATTAACACTTTTGGTTTCAGTATCCTTATGCACAAAATCAAAGAGCAGGCTAAAACATTTCTAGGTATAGAGGAGTAAATGCTCAGCTCTTATTTCCAATAACAACTTCACTTTTTGTACATATGTAGTACATACGTTTCAAAAGGTAAAATTATATATTTTAATAGGCTTCCAATTCCCATTATATATGTGAAACCTACATACAAACCTATTTTTACAGAATACTATCTAAAAATAACTTTCACAGTTTTTCATTTTATAAAATGTTAATAAACTTTTATATGGGAGGTATTTTTATCCCAATTTTACAGAATAGAAAATTGATCCTCAATGATCTGTTCAAAGGTGACCAAGTCTTGGGATGGTGTTGTAGCTCAGTGGTAGAGTACTTGCTCACCAGGCATAAGGCCCTAGTTTGATCCCCAGCACACACATACATAAACACACACAAATGTGACCAAGTCTTTTGGTCTTTTTAAAAATAATCCCTGTTTTACTAAATCCATAGTCTATAAAATGTTTTAACAGACTTTCATAGTTAGTTGATTCTGAAGCTATCTTGAAATCACAATATAACTAAAGAAAGGAAAAACGGTAAGTAATAGAAATGGAATTCCAAGCCAGATTTTCTGAATCCAGAGATCCTTCAAAATATACCAAAATAAAACTGTATCATAAAGACACATTATGATTTTCAACAGGAAAATTTAAAATAAATACGGTTACCAAGACTATAATAATATGCATAGAGGAGATAAAGAAATCAAGAGATCTGACTGATATACTGGAACCCAAAAGCATGTACACAAAGCTTAAACACTGAGATTTCTTTTCTCTATTAGAACACTTTACTATTACCCTTAAAACATGAAATAGTGATTGTCACAAATATTATCTGGATTGTTTATATTTCTGATCAAATTTTTCAAAATGCACATGCCCAATTTATATAATCAACTGAATATCAAGACTGCTTTAGAAACTATCTCAGCACAATCAGTACAATATTGAAATGATCTTTTCTAAATCAAAATTTGACATTTGGCAGTTTTGCTAATTAAATATTTTAATGTTATGAAACTACAATAGTAAAAGTTTTTCTAGCAAGTGATAAAATAATTTAACTGGCCTACTATCAGGGAGGCCAAATTAAAAACAATGACTAAGGTAAAAATTCAAGTACTCACTTTGTTATTTTATGTCACAAGAATACTTCTACCTCCAGGTTTCAAAGGAACCTCTTCCATTGCTCCAAACACATCAGTCTCAACAGAAAAAGTTAGTTCTAGACCCAGATCACTAATATCATTGTCTAAAATCCATTGCAAATTTTTGGCATATTCTGGATCAATTGATGTCACATCTTGATAATTTACAGGAATACCTAAAAAATGCAAAAATATAGCAGTTACACTAAATGCTGCTGCCTTTCTGTATCTGTTTAATGGTTAAAAGACTGCCCTCTACAGAAGTTCTGGAAAACTGCAAAATATAATCCAGTTCACAGCATGTCTTAAACGGACATTAATTCCTAAATTTGGAAGTGTGTTAAATTATGCCTATGTTTCTTCCACATCTTCACAATGTAATCTTTCTTTGAAACAGCTATTAAGGAAGCTACTATAAACTTCAGAAGTGCTAATTACCTTAAGTATACTCATACTAAAATGTATTATTTGCCTAAACATACACACTAAAATGGAAAATAGAACTTTCAGACAGAAGTTTTTTTTAAGTAGGTCATTTTTTCTCCCTCTAGTCCCCAAATATCTTACAAACATAGATGGTCTCCAATCAAAAATTATTTCGTCCAAAATGCTACTGCTTATCTACATAGTTTTCCCTTAAAAGCTCTAACAAAGGCAATGCAAATAGGTATCTATGGAAATAATAATAGAACCATACCAAGAATGTGCTTGTAGAATGATCGTGTGAAATAAATATTACACTTGATCTTAGCCAAAAGGCCGAGAAGCGATGTGTGAAATAAATATTGACCAGCTGCCTATGGTTCAAAGCTAATCCCAAGATTTGTCCAGCAAATCTGAAATAGTTCAAGTGATCAGGATTTACATAGGAGTTGCTATTGGGCTGGAAAGTTGTTCCTATTAAAATAAGTACAGAATAATTTATTCTTAAAAATCCACATGAAGATGAATAATTTCAGTGTACATAAATTAATTCACATGCAATTTTAGCAAAGCTAAGGTTCATTATACAAGCTTCCACAGGAATATTCTTTTTTTTTACATTTTTAAAATAACTTTATTACCAAACACACACACATACAAGGGCTGGGGATTTAGCTCAGTGGTTTCAGCGCCTGCCTTGCAAGCTCAAGGTCCCAAGTTTGATCCCCAGTACCAAAAAAAACAACAAAAAAACCCCACCACACACATACATACAAAAAATTAAAACCATTCAAAGAAGAACAATGTAAGGGGGAAAAAACTACAGTAATATTCAAATACAGTAGAACTCAACCAAAACAAAACCGGAAAGCACTTAAACATTTTTCCATATAACTTAAAAAAGCATCTCAAGCACCAACAAGACACCAGAGGATGTGATTTGTTTCAGAAAGGTCCCCAAGCACTTGGGTTGGAGGGAACCACCAGTGTTTCCTTCTTCCCCTT